TGAAGTAGAATATATTTTTATAACAATCACAACTTGTGAATCAAAGTGATTAAAAGAATTATTGTCTACTCTTTGTGTGATGTATCTAGGACCTATGCATCTGTATTGCAATAATAAGGCAGCTTTGTATATAATTTGTAATCCATTTTTCATGAACAAACAAAGCTTATTAAAATTGATTGTCATTTTGTATGTGATGAATTATAAAGTGGTAATATTCAAACCAAATATATTCATACTTCTATGCAGCTTGCAGACGACTTACGAATGCTTTAAGTGAGCGATAGTTTGATTTTCTTCTTCGCAAATTGGGTATTCAGGATCCTCATACTCCAATTTAAGGGGGATATTAAAGATTCTAAGTATAATCATGATCATGATCTTTTTTTTTTAATCATAATTTTTTTTCTTAATTTTAGATGTTAGTAAATATTTGAGATTCTAAGCATGATCATGATATTTTCTTTGGTTTTAGGCATTAGCAAATATTGTTTTATTAATTATAAATATTCTCTTAATGTATTTGTTCTTTATATTTACAACTTGAGAATAAAAATACAAAAACTTTGGCCTAAAATTAATTAGATTCTTTTAACTTTGCATAAATATGAAAGTTACACAAAAAAAAAAAAGCAATAGTGGGTCGAGTATGGGTTAGATAAATTAATCCTTCAACCAAGCTTTTGAACCTTGTAGTATCAACATTTCTCCTCCATTTTCATGCTGCAATTGTTCATTGACATTCGTGGGTGTAGGAGCATATTTACAATTAATCATTTCAAATTTCTTAAGAAGATCCTTAGCATATTTTTTTTGGGAAATAAAGATCTCTTCTTCAACCTGTTGAACTTCAAATACTAAGCAAATAACGCAATATACCTATATCTGACATTTCAAAATCATGCAACATATGTTATTTAAATTCAACCATAAGAGAATTAGAAGAGCTTGTATTAATGATATCATCAACATAAAGAAAAATAATGATGAAATCATTTTTAGCTTTCTTCTTTAAATAGAGAATGGGTTCATTCTCACTTCTCAAGAATCCATTTTATTGAAAATATTTATCAATTTTACTATACCATGCATGCGAAACTTACTTTAAATCATACATTGTCTTCTTCAACTTGTACCCTTCTCATCTTTTCCTTCAATTTATGAAACCCTCTAGTTGGGTTGCATAAACCACTTCTTTTAAATCGTCATTCAAAATGATGATTTGACATCAAATTGATAAACAGATACATTGTAATTGTGCGACCAATAATAAGATAATTCTTACAATTCCAAATCGAGCCACTAAAGAAAAAGTTTCTTTAAAATCAAGACCATGTTGTTATGCATATTTTTTCGCCACGATATGAGCTTTGTGATTTTCTATACTTCCATCAGCATAAAAAAAAATTTGAAAACCCACTTCAAACTTATTGCATTTTTCTCTTATGGACATCCACCATTTCCCACATCCCAATCTTTTAAATTGTTGTTAATTCCATCATTGCTCTTTGTCATTCTTTTTTTTTCAATTACTTCTTCATAGGTTATAGGATTTGAAACACTAAAAGCAAATTGATTGGATTCACATGTCTCTCAAGGATCTAAACCTCCTTGTTGTGTCTTATCTGATGAAGAATTTCAACTTGGTGATGTTGATCTGATGAAAGTGGCAACGCCATAGAGGAACCAACTAGTGAACTTATAGGAGTTGGCTCTGTACTTTCATTTGCAAAGGTTTCAAGAGGAATTTGTTGAGTCTTATCATCATGCCCATGTCAATTCAAGCTTGCATTTTCATCAAATATTACATCCCTTCTAATTAAAATCTAGCCACTATGAGGATTATATAATCTATATGCTCTGAAGTTTACATAATAACCAATAAAATTACATTTTTCAATTTCTCGTCAAGTTTATGAAGAAATTGAGAATTTACTCAAGTATAAACAATACACCCAAAAATTCTTAAGTGACTTACAGCTGGTTTTCTACCATGTCAGGCTTCAGATAGAGTTTGATTCATGATAGCCCTTGATTATTCATTACCAACTACCAACTAAATATAATATAGAGAGAATTTAGAATGAAAAAAATTCAAACTTCGTCTCTTACCAACTACCAACTAATCATTACCCTTGTATTTTGTTTCAAGATTGAGATCGAAGAGGTCTTGGAATGACATGGTGAGATGCTCCAATATCTAGCTACCAAGAAGTATTTGATTATTCATTAAAATATTATTGCAGTGAATTTTGCAACATATGTAAGATTAGCCTCAGTATGTTGTTGTGGCTGAAAGATAACTTTGAAACTATTTATATTGTTTTCAATAATGACCTACAGTGTGATTTCTCATATTGCATATTTGACAAAACTCATTGTCCTATGTTGATTGTAATTTAAATTGACAAAAAAAAAATTAGAGTTCGATTTTAAAGTCGAAAAAATGACATCAATAGACCTCACACCAACACTGGCAGTGATTGGTTCAGACATTAATTGATGTGAGTATGAGGAGGCCCAAATCCCATAAGGTGAAGGATTCCCACAGACAGCTAAAATCCCATGGGAATATGTCACTCACACGCCCACAGCACGGAAGAGGCACGTCACTAGCGAACAAGGTCGCACGCGCACACATGCGTAGGAGGACCCGCCAAGCAAACGGGAAAACGAGTTTTAGCCATGGGAAAGAGGATCCTTCTCCCGCAAGACCTCCCATGAGCCCAATCTTGGGAAGGCTGAGGTTTTCAGCCCAAGAAGATTTCCAGCAACATTTCAAGCCCAAGATCATTCCAAGGAAGCCTAAGAGAACCAATCCAAGAAGGTTACGAACAAGAATCAAAGATCTTTAACCCCAATTCCAAGAAACCGTCCCAAGATGCTTCAAAACGGGTCCAATATATATATTCAAGCTTGGGTTAATGAAGTAAACTATTTGGAGGCCCAAGAAGTTGCAAGAAGGGGACCAAGAAGCCGAAGAAGGCCTTGGCCATGTGTGACTTTAACAATTTGCACATGTAGCTGAGAGTTGGGAAGCCCTTTCCCATGAGGATTCATTTCTCCTATCTTAAGTCGACTTCAAGAAGTCTTCTAGGACCTGAAGACGTACCATGGATAAAGAAGAAGAGTCTAACGATTAGCAAAAGAATGATCCCTATACAAAGAGTCTGCTTGAATGCAATCCCACAAGAAAGACGATTCCCCCCGTGCAAAAAGGAGTCCATCCCGGACGAAATTTTCCTCCTTATTTTACAGTGAATTTTACTCCTAGAAGAATCCTACATGGAATAAGAGAAAAAATTTAAGTTAACATCAAATCTTCAAGAAAAAATCACATGGAAAAATCGGCCAAGAAATTCAAGATTTCCAGCTAAATTCTCCCACTTCATTCTCAAAGGAATTTCAAGTTTCTTCAACTTAAACTCTTCAAGAAATCGATTAATTAATTGAAAAACAATTCAAGATGCATCAAGACATTTCAAATTAATTTGGATTCAAGATTCCCCCATGAGAGGAGAAGATCTATCCTAGTTTAGTTTGATTTCTTTTAATTATTATTTTAATGTAATTAATTTAAAAATTTTACAAGAATTCTAAAGTTTGATTTGTTTTTAGAATTAATCCGGTGAATGTCTATATAAAGGTCACACCTTTACATTGTAATGCACCTTCAATTTAGATCAATAATATTCAATTTATTTTGATTTTAGTTATTGTTAATTCTGATATAGTGTTCAATTAAGAGATGTTACTTTAACCATCTTGTTGCGCTAAAAAAATCGAATCGATTTATTAGGTAAGTCGTGTGACGTCTTTTCCATTCCTATTTTATTCCTAATTACGTTAGTTTGCATTCATAGGTTGGTTGTGGGTCAAGTAGGGAGAGTCTACTTAGTAAGTTAAGATTTATGCATGCTAATGTTCTATGCAGGGTTTTCTATTGTACTGTTGATCAAGAGTCCCATATCATTTATTTTAAGAGAATTTATGAGCAAGACAACGATCATATATCTCACGAAATGACACTGGATCTAGACTCAAATTGAGAGCAACGATAATGAACGATAATCTGATCCGACATTGCAAAATATTACAGTATTAAATTTCATAGTAGGTAGAGAGATCTAACAGCCACTGCAAGAGTATTTACAAAGAGTTTTGATTCTTTTAAGATATTGAGAGATAAACATGTGGAATAGTCATGTCAAATTAAAGTTGAAGAGTTTGAGATGTAGACCCAAAGGCCTAATTAAGTTACATTATTTACATATCTACGTACGCAGCCGCCTAAGCTTGTACCTAAGAGAACATAATACACCAAATAACATCGTGAATGGAGACGCATATAACAGAATAAATATACAAATAGAACACTTATCCACTACTTGTGCATAAGGTAATGAACCAAAATGTCCGGCTAAACTGAACCTTCATCCACGAGGGGACACAAAAACTCATTCATGTGTTCAGAAACATACATACATACAAACAGATAACCCCTCCTAAATAATAGAGTAAACGAATTTAACTAAACAATTTTATTTATTACGTCTTATTAGACACCATACTTGTTTTATTACTTTATTTTATTTAAATCTAACCTAAACCTAAGTGTAGACCTAGGTTAGACAAAACTCCCTTTTTCCCGAAACAAACATTTTTACCAAATTTCCAAACTTAACTAAATTTTCCTTATTTTCCCATTCTTCGAATTTCTTATCAAATTTCTTCAATTTAAAATTTGTTAATTTCTTAGTTGACTTCTAATTTTCAAAAATTCAGTTCCAAATTCTCTTATATTTCTTTCTGATTCATTAAATTTCCTTTTGTTCAAAATTCATATTTTATTTCCCACTTTCCTTTTTAGTTTCAATTATTTTATTTTACTGTTTCAATTTCAAACTTAATTTTAAAATTACAAATTCCAATTCCTTTTTACGTTTTTCTCCTTTTTTCCAGTTTTTATTTCCAAAATCTTAGTTACAATTTCAAAAATTCATTGCTTTGGCGCTTTGGGCAATATGCCCTCAAACCCGAGGCAGGGGGATAAGATCCCGCAAGCCTGTACCCGCAGCACATGGTGCCTTGGCTCGTGGCACTCTCAGTGTGTGCATGTCTGGCAGTGCCCGTGACCCGCATGGCTTACTGTGCGTAACAGCTTGCCAATGGGGCGCATGTGTTGGCACTGTGGGTTCCTGGGTGTGCGTCCTTGTGTGCATGCATGCACATCACTCGGCACTAACAGTGCCTCGCGCAGGTACTCTCGGCCAGCGAGAGTGCTTGGCAGGAACCCTTCGCCCATGCACAGCGTTCTGCGCGTACACAACGTGTCAAGGGACATGTCCCGGCGCTTTTGGATGCCTGGACAGTGTCGGCACGCACCATCGCGCACAGTTTCCTGTGTCTGCCTCCTTTGTCAGCACATTAGTCCCTAGGCAACACAGACAGAGGCATCGGGCCCCTATTTACAAATCAATTTTCAGTTTCCTTTCGTTTTAGCACTTGAAATCGATTTATAATCGTCATACAAACATCCAGTAATCAAATTCCTTCGAAATTATTATCAAAAGCAAGATTAAATCATCAAAATCATGCATGCAACACATAACTCTCTGCATCAGTTAAAACAGTGAATACACAAGTATTTTTTGAAGATTTAATCACCCTACATGCATCTACAAGACCAAATGCTTATAAAAACTGATTACTAACAATCTTACCTCAAAGCAGAAGGTCTAAATGGTCCAAACACACGAGTAATCGACCTAAAAACCATGAAAAACCACTAGCAGCACGCCTATGCAGCGATTGTCGTATCAGTAGGGTTTTTGAGTTGAATCTGCAGTTTCTGGGTTGTTTGACCCACAAGGATTCGGTTTAAACTTAGCTTAGAACTTAAAGGAACTAATCTAAAATGGGAATCGAAGAAATAACCGAAAGGAAACAAGAATCAAAGAGGAAGAGCATGCTTACCTGAACAGTTGGGCTCGGCTCTGTTCTGATTGCAAAAGAAGCTTTGGTCAAAGCCGTAAGAAATTTTCCGAGTTTAGGTAAAAATAAAGAAATAAAAAATTAAAAAGGGAGAGTCAATCGACTCGAACAGAAGAGAAAAGGACTCACCTCAGAGGACTCGTTTCTCATTAACACACTTGTTTTCCTACTTTCAACTCGCACCAGAACACTCGGCTTTCATTCTCTCTCTCTCTCTCTCTCTCTCTCTCTCTCTCTCTCGCAGAACCTCTGGCCCCTTGGATTACATGCAATGCATCCAGGCTGTTGGAGGCTTCGTGTGGCCAACAGAACTGAAGAGGAAAGTTGGCTAACCGACACCTAGAGAGGGAAGAAAAGAGCTCGCCTGCAAAGCCTTGGGTGTCGGTGTGAGTGGTGTCTCGTCGGTGAATAGTTCGTAACAAGCGACTTGCATACCCGCGGGGATTTACGCGGATGACATCTCGCGAGGCTGAGGAGCACACGACTAAGGGAAAACATGTCCCACACGTAAGCCTTGCCTAAGGATAGGCGTGCGCAGAAAGTATTCTTGCGCACAAGCCCTGCCCATGGGTTGGGGCAAGGGAAGAACCCGCATGTGCGGGTGAGTTGTTTTGTGATTTAATTGTTTTTTTTTTTTTTTTTCTGGAAAACTTAATTTTAAAATACATATCTAAATATAAATTTATAAAAAAAAATATGATTTCTTGAAATACTTCCATACATTTTATAACATGATTCAATTTTACAGAAATGTTGAATATTATAATTTTTAAATAAAAATGTGACAATCCGTAATTTAAGTAGAATTACAGAAACCTAATTATATTGAACATTAAATCGTGCAATATCTCATTTATATAACAATGCAAAATTTCTAATTCATTCTATTTCTAATCTTAGTGAAAATATTTACATAATTCTATGAAACATCTTAATTCTCAAGAAATTAAATAAGTTTTCAGAATTTAAAAATATAATCTCAGTACTAATTAATGATGGCGTAAACTCCGTATGCATTAGAGGTCTAGTCACTGCTTTAATTAATTGTCATCTGGTTGTTGGATTTCTAGTTCTGAAAGAAATAAAAATGGACGAGCTATACGGGCTCAATAAGAATCATTTAATAATTTAACCTACACCTATTACTATTACAAGTGAGTCTTTCTTACTACCTGAGTATGTGATATAATGCATTGTTGGAATAATTATATCTTTGTGTATTTTTCTCATTTCAATTTTTTTTCTACATTTTCACACATTATCTCTTATATTTCTCAATTGACTTGACAGATATATTTGATTCAATTGTACTATTAATATCTACGGATTAATAAACATATTAATACCTTCTCATTTAAGGTGTTATTTACCTTTTTTTTAAAATTTAAAAAGTATCACATTTTCTACTCAAATTGTAAATTACAAACTGTATAACCACCATACATTTCATTTTTATCATAAATAGACATTAGTGTCTCATTGTACGATGTTATTTAAATCATTATCAGAGAAGAGAAATTAATAGCACTTGTAACAACACGAACACTATCAAAACAATATAACAGTGGAAACCACATGATACTTTTATCAGTCGGGTTCATTGATCGACTAAGAACGGCCACTCATATCTGTGAACCTAGTATAGTACGGTATGTTACACACTCTCCGGATTGAGTTCACCACTCGATCGCAACCGACCACTCATGCACCTACCCCTCAGAGAGTATAACCACCACAGTCGTATCTGTATAAGCTCCCACCATAATACAAGCATCGTACACATAATGCATCTGTAGCAGTTCCCACAATAAGTACAGTGTATATTACCGTTAATAATCTTTCTCGTCTACGTGAGATGGTCACACACATACAATTAAACGATTTTTCACATAGCAATTAACTCAAATCTCACATTTATTCATATTCTCTTTTTTTTCGACTACGTTCCCGTATACCTTTTATTGTTACAAATTTTTAATTAAATTATTCTCATTCTAATATATCTTTTCTAATAATTTTGTATTTACTTATTACTAATAAGGTAATGATTTTTTTTTTTTTCTTGAATATGTTTTATTTACTTTGTTATTACATTTTTGTAACGCATATTTAGGGAAAATTGCAAACTTCAGAACGTGCATTCAGACCTCTTGTTTGGGGTATATCTACAACGAAATTGATACCCTTCCTTTCCATGTTGACCTTCTTTGATTTAATTCCCAACTTGGACTTCCCCCCCCATCACAAAACCTTCTAGTTTAGCTTTAAAGATATTTTGGGAGTAAAGTTGCTGATCCAGTCCCGACCCATCCAGAGATCGTCTTCCCCGATTCCTAAAACGTCTGACATATTATTATATTACAACGTAATGATCCATTTCTCTAATTCATAACTCTGAATCAGATTTATTTACTTTAAATATTCCAAGATTTTTTAGTCTATACTTTTTAATAATATTTTGGACGCACTACTAAATCACCCAAGGGAGAACACTACTAATTTCCGGTCTTTTAGTCGCCACCGGGTTGAGAGAGCTTAGGGAGTTTGTTTATATTTATATGTATTTTTAGGTTTTCATCACAATTTACTCCTTAATATTTTCTGTTTTCCAAACACACCACATATTTACTACATAATTAAATTAATTTCATTTATATTTAGTTCTACAATTATACATTTTACATTTCTATTTATTAAGATTTTTATAATTACAAAAATATCTAAATCAAATTAGAAAAGATGATCTTAAAATATCAATTTTATTTAATGTCTTCATTCTTATTCTCAAAAAAAAATTGAAAATCAAATCGAACTGAAAGAAAGAAATTTACAAATGGCTAATCTCAAACACAATTGGCTAGAGCTACAATATAAATTATCATTTCTTCCCACACCGCATGAGAAATCAGTGGCAGTGAGTACACGTTGTCATCAATTCACCACCATGAATGATTGAATCCAATTTGATGGTCCTACTACTACTACAACTTATTACAAAAGCCAGCCAGCCAGCCTAGATTAACTTGTTTGCGATATAATAATCATAGAGATCTTTTTCTTTCCCAGAGCCAAAAGAAAAGAGTAGAGTAGCCATAACCGAGAGTGACAATGCAAATATATATATCTACTCTATCAGGACCTACCTACCAAAACAAACTACACATTCGTGCCAGCCAGCTTCTGATTAATTTACAAATCCAGGAATGCTAATACAACAAAGATCGCAGCAAGAAAGAATTAAAAAGCTCGAAAACCCACCAACCAAAATGATCATTGATCGTTCTATTATTGTAACTAATTCATGATCCACACGGAACAAACATTTTTTTTTTTTTTTTTTTTTTTTTTTCTGTACACCATTTGAAAGATTTTTCTGTTAATGATCAGTTTCACCTCCAACCACGCATATATATATATATATAATACTTCAGATATGTATTTGTTCTTTTTCTATCAAGGAAAAAGCTCCAAATATGTATTTGACAGGCTTGCAAAACAAACAGCCAAATGAACTACATAAAATTGAGAGTACAAAGAGCATAACCAGAGATGAGCGAGCTGAATGCTAAGGCCACAAATGCCAGAAATGACAATGTTACAGATGCTTTAGCCATCTGCGGGAACTTGTCTGCACCCCAATTGGATTGCCAATCTGCAACTCGGACAGCAGCAGAAGAAGATGCTGATATGAGAAGATAGGTCAAAATCTGCCAATGGCAAACAAAATGTTAATTTCTCCACCCAAGAACGTAAGTGGCAAGAATTAAACAATCAACTTGCTCAAAATACTATGAAACAGGTCCTAGTAGCTACATGTTATCTGCTCCTCCGGCATGTACTTTCATTTCAAGAGGTGAATCCAACCAGATGATAAAGATTATATTAGTGAAAATAAAGGACTTAAAGAACTTCATCATCAATCATTATAGCCCGTATATTTAAAAACAATAAGGATATATGCACCAAAAGCTCCAAAAATGGTTGCCTCTTACACCAATACCACTAATCTCCTAGTGTCCAATCAATTTTTTCCACAAAAGATTCTAGTAACCTATTTCTCCAAAGCCCCTTTACAATTATTAATTTTTGCTTGGAAATCAAGCATTTTACATTCTAAGTTCTACCTACTAATCTCAAAATCTTCTCTTTAGAAAGATCAACATTTAGAAATATCAATGTTATTGGCCAGGTAGGCCAGTCTCCACCTCCATCACATGAAGTTTTGGAGATTTGGAAGTCCGAGATCTCGTGTTCCTTGCATGGGCTATGAAGCAAATTTTATGAGAGAACACTGAAGAGGGAATACAGTTGGAAAGCAAAAGTAGAGCATATCCTTGTGGAGAAAAGGTGGGAAAAAGATGAACAAGTGTTGTCCAAGAACTATAAATCATCCAAATTATTCTAACTAACCTAACTCCTACGCAATACCAGTAGACTTACATTGCCCCACAGAACATTAATCATTCATTAGCTTACAAGCTCTCTGGGAAATAAAAAATGAATTAGTGATTAACTTATTCCCCACCGTGACCATACGTATCAACATCACTTTTATGTCTTGTGGTCACCAAAAAAATTACAGCAAAAATACTGCCAACACAGGTTTTGATGTGTAACTAAACGTGGGTCCATGTTAGGTATGATAAATTATTAACATGAAAAATGAAGAACCTAAAATAGACCTGATCAGTAGCAAAATCCAAGAAATGGCGTAAGTCATAGTGGGATTTTTGTTTGCCCGTCATCAATTGATAGGCTACTTGAAAGCTTGAATACACAAAGCCTAACACATTCACTGCCATACAGTACCTGTAATACATATTCAATAAGCACATATCAGATAACCCATACCCAGCAAACTTTAGTCTAAACTAACTAAAGCCATTTACCTGATTCACTTCACTGGTGCAGATATCAAGAACTTAAAAATCCAGTCCGAGAAATTACAAATTGAAATAAAATAAGTTGCTTAACTTTTTAGCTCAAAGAAAAAAGCTCCTACCAGTGGATCATAAGCATGTATTTCATTCAATTGAACAATTAAGTAATGAAATTAAAGCAGACCTGAACTCCTTGTACTTATAAAAAGAATCAAGAGCCCAGCCCTGATCCCTGTCCGCAGCCATGACCGAGAAGGAGACCAAGCAAAACACAAATCCACAAAACCTAAATACAAGCAACGCCCTCTTCACCATAGCATCTCTGTTAGCTCTCCTCGCCATCGAGAAGTCAGGCCTCAATCTCCTCTCCACCCCACCAGAACAACCAGTAGCAGCACCATCGAGTTTGGAATCTTCAACGCTTGCAGAGAATCTATCTGCGACTCTGGGCCCCAATCTAGTCGCCAGCCCGGGAGACGGGTGCTTGGCGGAAGGTGGGCTGCGTTCAGGTGGGGGAAAGAAGACATGATTGTGAGAGGTCTGATCAGAAGTGAAAGCATCTGGGTATGGTGGGGAATCTAACGGTGGCAGTGATTGGTTGCTAGAGTTGTGGTAATGGTGCAGCCCAGATGGTGAGGAGTTCATAGTGGGTGATGATGATTGGGATTTTTGCTGTTCTTGTTCTTGTTCTTCGTTTTCCTTCTCTAATTGTTGCTGTTGTTGTTGCCATGATTGTTGAGATAGTTGCCCGGAATCTACCGGTAGCGACGATTGGGTAATGGAATTTTGGTGGGATGGTGGTGATTGGGGTTTTTTTTGTGGTTCTTCTGCTTCTTCTTCTTCTTCTTCTTCTTCTTCTTTCTGTTGCTGTTGCTTCTGGTTTTTGTTTTCTTGGTGTTCCATAAATTTGTGTTGACGGGTTTCGGGTTTACAGTTGAAAATGATGAAGGAAAGAGGTAGGAATCTGTGACGAAAAGTTTGAATTTTGAGGAACAACTAAAAACACCTACTGCCGAGCTCAAATGGTAGAGTTGATATTGCCAAGGATCCTTGGACTTAAGAATTATGCAATTAAGGCCATAAGAATTTGTGTTCTTAATTAACTCTCAAATTGATCATTCCCTAATGAGTAATGCATAGTTATTAATTAAAACACAACAGAAAATCATTTTCAAATAAAAATATGAGGGAGCCTAGTCTAATTGATGTAAGCATAAACAGTCCCAAGCCTAAGGTGAAAGAAAGCAAGCCCATTAGGCCAAGGGTATAATGGTACATGTACCCTAATTCAAGTGGAATGGGAAAATAAGCAAGAAGAGAAAGGAAATCTTCCCTTAAGAGAAGAATCCTCCCAATCCGGTTGGGAGAAAAAATCTCCCAAAACTGCAAGTAATTTTTTCTTCTATATCCTGTTTGTATAAATTTTAGTAGTGATTAATTAATACATGATTGAATGGCAATGACATAAGATAAAAATAACAAAAAAAAAATTTATGTTTAAATATTTGTATATTAATATATGTTAATAGTATATTTTTGTTCGGATAATAAAATGTTATGGTTGTATTTTCAATCAAATTACTAATTTACCCATATCTATTATATGTAATAGTAAATGGAATATATGAAGTATTTAATTAAAAAATAAATAAATTGTTTACTAATATAATTACATTTGTATTTAAATAAATAATTATTATATATAATCAAATTAAATTTTTATATTTAATAAAATAAATAATAATTTATGAGGATAAAAATATAATTAAATATATTATATGAGGGTATAAGAAGAAAAAAAATAACATACCGGTCACATACCACTAATTCGGTGGTTTTAAAATTCATCACAAATTTGTTAATCAGATATTGTTTGCTACCATTAGAAGTTGAAATAAATATAATTTTCTTTCACCCATGAAATAACATACATTAAAATCCTATTATTCACCACAATCCAAACAGAGTGCTAACGGGAGAATCAACCAATGGATGTTTTCCTTCCTAAATTGCATGGGAATTCAAGAGAAATAAGAAAACAAATCACATGTTTTAAAGGGAGCTTAAATCTCAAGGGTTTTAGAAAGATATGAGGGCAATTAATCATTTTCCAAATCGGTAATAATCTTCCCTAATTATTTCCTCAATTATCTCTGTAATTAATTAAGATCACCTCCATTTAAAACGTTTCCACAAAGAGAGATCATATCTACCTTATTTTGATTGTAATTTCTTAATTTTTATTATTTTTTCATTTAAGATTAAATTTTATTTCCTATATAAGTGTTACAATTAATTTAGTAGATTTCTTTCCTTATAATTCACATGACCTACAACTATAAATAAATATTCAATTTATAGTTATAATCACTCAAGCTGAAAATAATAAAATACAAAAAAAAAATTTAGCTTCCAACAAGTGAGATGTTCTTCATCTTTCTCATTAAGCAAAGAATTTGGTCAACTTATCAAGGTAATTTTATGGTATTTTTTTCAATTCTTTAATTTTTTCAATTATCTTAATTCTTATTATTCATCAATAATGGATTAAGTAGAGAGAGTTTAATTAGATATTAAATCTATTGTTCTATTAACTTTTTTTCTTGTAGGAATCCTTCTTAAAATGTCACAGCAAAGTGAAAATCAAATTCCCAACTATATGAAACTCTTTATGGAAACAATGCAATGGGAGATGACACGAATTAGTAAAGTAGTGGACGAACTCATAATAGTGTGTCATGAAATAAGACACGAGACCCCCAATATATGACGACCTAGACATCAAATCCAAAAAGATGATGTTGGGTCTCATAATGACGACTGGGGAAAAGATCAAGCGTACCAACAACAACATTAACTCGATAAAGCTGAAGATTCCATCATTCAATAGAAGGAATGATGACGAAGCATACTTGGAGTGGGAGATAAAGGTAGAGCTAGTGTTTGATTATCACAATTATAGTGAAGAAAATAAGATAAAGTTGATAACTGTTAGGTTCACAAATTATGCCCTGGTTTGGTGGGACCAGCTACTACTTAATAGGAAGCAAAATGGAGAGTGTCCTATGTCATCTTGGAGGAAGATAAAGTTCACGATGAGAAAAAAGTTTATACCATCTTACTATTATAAAGAGATGCACCAAAAATTACAACATCTAATTCAAGGATTCATGTCTATGGAAGACTATAGTAAGGAGATGGAAATAGCCCTAATTCGAGCCAATGTAGAAGTTACTATAGCTAGCTTCTTGAGTGGCTTGAATCAAAAGATTGCCAACATAGTCGAGCTGCAACACTATGTTGAGCTAAAAGACATGGTTTATATGGCAATGAAGGTTGGGAAACAATTGAAGCATAAGGGGGTAGTAAGGGAGTTCTCAAATCCCCTCCCTAATCATGATATGAGATGGTCAAGTAAGGATGAGAAATTCAAGAGCCAAAAGCCTCAATTAAGGAAAGTCGATAAAGGTAATTCTAAACCACCTACTCGTACTAAAAAATAGAGTAATATTAAATATTTGAAGTGTTTAAGTATTGGACATATTATCTACCAATGTCCCAATTAAAAAGTTATGCTACTAAAAGATAATGGAGATATTGATAGCGCAAGTGATAGTGACAATAATGATAGCATGCCATCATTGGAGGATGTTGAGGAAGATGTTGAATATCCAACTAAAGAGGAAGCTTTAGTTATTAGAAGAGTTTTGAATGTTCAACTCAAACCAGAAGAACATAACTAAAGAGAGAATATCTTCCACGCTAGTTATCTTATAAATGAGATTATATTTATTAAAAATTAAGTTCAGACAATCTAAACTTAAATTTATTTTAAACTAGTTTAACAAATTATATATCATAAACATGTATGTATAATCATATATATATATATATACACACACCGACATAATGTTTGGTAAGATATACATCATATATACTATAATATATAGTTTTGATATATATATATATATTAAACAAGATGATTCAATTTTTTTTAATGGATTAACTCATTTAACATTTTATCATGAAGAGAATTAAACTAGGATAAATATATCCACATACTTATAAAGATATGTATGTGAAACTAAAATCATACTCTTTTTATTAAACGGGTTAAGGATAGTAATGATTTGCATTGTGTATTTGCAAAACATGTTTAGACATAATCCCCACGTTTTGTTAACTTTACATCATATATACTATACATATGATAACAAGAACCATTTATCTTAACAATATAAGCCATGTTGGTTCTTTAAGTAATCAAAATTTTGTTAGCAAAACATAATTAACAACTCAATCCATTCCATTCCATTCCATTCATATGTCAAACCCATTATCCGTTGTTAGAACCAAATTGAATTTCTCCTCCACTCATTATTATATAATTAAAAATACAAAAAAAATTTTAGTTAAATTATTGATGTCTTTTCTCTTACAAGAGGTTGAATGATCTGTATTAAGTTGAAGGAGAATTTCTTGTTGTTTTGGTTCCTTTGTGTGCGTTGGAAAATCACAATTTTTATAATCTGATTTCTAGATGGGTCAAACTCTGAGACAGTAACAAATCTTTATTCTCAATTGAATCCAATTTCTGCAGCTTTATTTTTATTTGAATTTTGTAAGTTAAAATCTTAAGAATTATTTTCACTTAAATAAAGCTTTTCCACAGTCAATTCTTACTCCTGGATTTTTCTGTCACATGATTCTCTCACTTTGCCTGTTCTCCCCGCAGTTGCTCTCGTCATAATAATAATAGCTTTTTGTTCCTTCCGACATTCCTAATGTTTATTTTTCTCTCTACATTCAATATATATATATATATATATATTTTCTCTTCACCCCACCTCCATTTTCTCCTTAAAACTTTTTAAGAAGTTTGCTCTTTCAGTAAGAACTATGTGAATGACAGACCAATTTCTTTATCCTCCAAAAAAATTGATATACGTATTCTCTTTGTATTTCCAAATATAGCTTTGACATCAAATTTTATGAGTTCCCCAAGTACTTTGGGATCAAAATATAACTCTACCTTTATACATTTTTTTTTTCCATAAAAACAGATTGCATAGTACCGCATGTTATAATGTGAAAATGGAGAAAGAAGGGAAATAGAGGGAAAACCAAGAAGAAAAGTGGGGTGAGAGAGAGAGAGAGAGAGAGAGAGAGAGAGAGAGAGAGAAAGTCTAACAATTCTACACAAGGGACTCTATTTATAGCATCTTGCGTTAACAGACTGCTCTCATGGTTCAAAACTAGTAAGAGAATGTCTCAGTTATTCCTCATTCTCACATCCAACATACAGCAGGGCAGAACAGACTGTTAGCTTTCTCAGCTGGAGATTCAAACAAAAGAGAGCTAAAGGTGCTATTAGCCTGATATGTCCCTTTACGAGTCAAAACTAAACCTCCCTCTTTTAACTTTGTATCACATGGTTATTAATATGGGAGGAGAAGAGCTACCTATGAGCGTGAAAAGAACTCGTGAGCTTCACGATATTGTTCTACGACAACATTGTACAGGGGATGTACGCGTTCCAATAAATTGGAAAAGGGACCTAACACGGCCATAGAGGAAGGTGGAGTGTCCTCATCCTTTGAGAGGCTATATTGACATACCGACAGGCCACTTAGACAGTAACATGTGTGGTAAAAGTCTCTGCTCTTTCCAGGTTTATCTCTGAATCCACCTTCTAGGTCCTGCATACACATCAATGTCATAATCTAAACCATTTCAACTGCGAAGTGGGAAAGTTCCACTTGCTTGAAGCTCCAAACCCTTATAAAAAAAATTTGTATTTAACTTTGGAAGTAAATATTCTGGTTTCCCCAAGTAAAATTTTTCATCATAAACCAGGCATTGACTTCCCAAAAAGGATTCAATTCTTCCATAGAAATTCAGACCTGCGAGCACAAGAGCAGGTATTTCTGCAATGCAAGGCTGTCAAAAAGGGGCCCCTTTTTCCTACGGCCGTTGGTGGAATTATAATCAGCATGATGCGTTTCAGCAGAAGTGCTGCTCTCTGGACATATAGAGTAAAATGAATATTAAAACTATTTCCTGTTATTAAATGGTATAGGGAAAGAAAGCTTCAAGCATGAAAAGATAAGATTAACAAAACTGATTTATGCATCATTAGGTCCTACCCTTACCAAGGCATCTAGCCCAGCTGGTCATTGCCAGTTCCTCCGTAGGAGAGATCCAGTTTTAAACACTTCTATGGACATTTATCGAATCAAAAGAACAAAAGATTATTGTAGTTACCAACTTCTTCTGGTATATCTGATGATGCATGACTTTGTAAGCTATCTCGAAACTGGTCTGTCTCTCCCACTTCTAATTGTCCATTGATATGTATTTTTAATCTTTCCAATAATGCAATTGCACCTCCCTGGCCACTTCTTCAGTTACAATCTTTTTATAACCAATGAGGGGCAATAACAGAATCAACATAAGGAAATTCACCTGCCAGAAAGAGTAGCAACCATCAACCAATTTATTTGCCCTCCCCTGAAATCCAAGTTCCACTCCTTGTCGAAATGCAACCCAATCCTACATAAACATTTAGTTAAACGTTCATAGGCATCATAAGAAGAAAAAAGCTACATAGAGAAATATAATAGCTAAAGAGATAAATTTGTAATCGGTATGAAGTCCGTAATTATACTTCTTGAAAATCAATATGAAGCTGAAGTTGTCTTACAATTAAAGATTCCAAATCCAGACGATCAGCCTCATCAATCAAAATCATTGTAGCCAACCCACAAAAGGTGTACCTGATAAACAAATCATTAAAATTTTAAAGTTGTGTTTGGTTTATATTTTAATTTTATAGAATAAGAATGAAAATACAATATAAATGAGACAAAGATTTTAATGAAAATAACATCTTAATTTCAAGTCAATTTGCTTTCCAATTTAACTTAAAGGTTATCTTTAGGAAAAGTCTAGAAATGATGTGGAATTCATTTGTAAATCCATACTTACATCAACTAGAAGAATGAATAAATTGTATTTGAATGATAAAAAAAAATAAATATATATAAAATTTATATGTAAATTGGAACAACACATTTCAAATTCCATCAAAATTTATGGTATTTGGAATGTATTATTTTAATTTTATATAAATTTAATTTTTATCATTTTTGGTAAGACATCTGTTATCTTTTAATTAAAATAAGGATAGAGCTTCAATAAATTTTAGATCTGTTCCAACATATTGTTTTTATAATTCCTCCGTAACAAATGAAAATACAAATTCATTATTTTGAAAGTAAATGCATGAATGGTCAAATTATGCATCCAATGCATAAATTATGACAAAATTCTAGATATCATATCACTAACATCTAGTAACAATCCAAATGTACATAAGAGGCCTTGCCAGCAAATAGGGAGGATATGGAAACAGTGCTCCCAAGAGAGAAAAAGTAAATAGGAAAATTCAGATAAATCTATTTTAAGAGAATGGAGTCAAACTTACCCACCATGAGCCTCAGAACCAGGTTCCCCACCAATTCCACCTTCATAAGTCTGACAACTGCACAGAGATGCAACAACCAAAAACTTCCAATCAGCTGTGTACATCAGACAACACCATTTAGACTCGTGGAATTCAAGTAATCCAAGGTACAAAAATTCAGACAGAACCCAAGATTCCATTAAAGATATTAAAATAATCTATTCGCTAGACACTAAGGCAGGTTTTTTGAAAGAGACCAATCAGAGATGAGATTTGAAGGCAGACTAATTTCAACATAATCGGACCTTTGCCATCTATGTTCCGAGTTTCCAGAGGCTCATAAGCCATCAAATTTTTGGTTCCAGCCATTAATGATAATCATGATTTTACGAACACTAAACCACATATACATTGTTATTTGAGCTTCTAACCTTGACAGGCATATCTATATGGTCTTCCAATAGTTTCAAAAAACAGTTACGCCATCAGAAAAGGCCTTATCTAGCAGGTATATAATCAAGAAAGGAACAAAATCAATTAAGCATGCAATCGCTAGATTAAGAAATGAACTAGCCATCTTATACCATCCAAAAAACTTATATGCCACTTTAACCAACCTCAAGATGTAATTTCCGACATTTTTAACAAGTTCATCATCCAAAATATTTAGGATGCTTGCAACCTGGGTAGGACAGAAACAGTTCAAGTCATTACAAAAACTGGGAAACACTTTAAAACAAAAAGAGCTAAATGTGTGAAATACTTCACAAGTATTAGATGCTCTTGGTAGTTTTTAATAGTTTTTTGGCAAGGGATCACAAGGATGGATCAAAGTTACACCGAATGACCCGTCAGGCATGATGTTTGCCTTATAATAGTACCTTCAAGCTACATTTGGTTTAAACAGCTAGTTCAACAAAATAGAAACAGTTATAAGTACATTAGGTTCAAATGAAAATAATATTCTAGTTTTTATATTCAGTTCAACGTGAATTTCTAATTCCTACCTAGACATGTAGAAATCAGTAAAGATCATAAATTCATCCCCAAAAATTTGAAATGAGAACAGAATTGGCCTAGAAATGAAAACTATAATCCAGTATATATAAATAATATTTTAGTAATTAAACAAAAAATAGGATAAGGATTAAACAAAATAAGCCATAATGTTACAAGACAATTTTCGTGCCAGCAAACAACCAGTCACAACAAAATGAATGCACCTTTGATGTATGACTAACTTGAAGAAAAATGCTGGGACTTTGCAGGGGGCTTAAGATAAAGAAAAAAAATTTTGGGCTCAAAGCCATGGAGCAAAGGCCCGAGTTATATATATTTGCACTTTGTTTTACAGGATATCAATGGACGGTGTTAAAGAAAATATAGCCATAAGATAGAAGTTCTTCATCAACCATCCATCCACCCATGCATTTATAATGACCATCAATCGACTAGTGGCTAAGTTAAGTAAGAGATTGCATGCCAAAGGACATGTTAAATAAGAGATTGCAGGCAAAAGGCCATCCATTCACCATATATTTACAATGACCATAAATCAAAAAGAGGCTATGTTAAATAAGAGGTTGCATGCAAGAATGTGCTTGTGGGTATGCAAACATCCGTGTCCGAGTGAAGGTGTACACACAAGCACACAAGAGAGAGAGAGAGAGAGAGAGAGAGAGAGAGAACAAACAGAAATGGCAGTGTAACATGCTCGAACGTCAATTTCACCAGCGTCATGCATCCTGAGAGACAATAATCAGTGGTGTCAAAAAATCTTCAATAAACAGTGCTTCAAATTATGCTCTAAACACTGGTTTGTGAAAGAAAGATAAAGAAGTATCAGTAGCACCACTTGCGGACTATGAGCACTGTCTAACAAACTAGATTCAGATAATACTTATAGTGAAGCATTACAAGGACAGCCTTGTATTCTTAAATTGTTATAGCATCAAGTAATACAAGCTTTTCAAAAATTCAAAGAAAAATAAAAGCAGAAAAAGTAGATCATAGTATAGGATTAACCACATTGCATTACAGGAACGCCATCCATGCACAAGAAAATGGATAGAAATCTATGGACCAGTCAAAGAATCTATTAGGTCCCCTAACTCACATAAATCAGAAATAGGGTGATCACTAAAGCATAGGTTAAGAGTATGCAGCCAAAATTCAACACAAGCTCATACTTCTGCTTACATAGAGTAAAATTCACAGCATCTAAGCGAATTTTCAATTTAGAGTATAAGAAGAAGAGACAACCTGAAGGCCCCACTAGCATTCTTCATTCGCCGTAAAAAATTATACATTTTGCTTCTGAAAAAGAATTTCATGTTTTGTGTCAAATCACTTCCAGAGAAGACTTAAAACCATACCAGTGTTATAGCACTCTATGTGAACCATTCAACAAACTATAAGTTGCACCTATTAATTGATGACAAAGCTCTGTCACCCCCTAAAGTAACAAGAGCATTTACTGCAGCATAAGTTGTTGCAAGATGAGGCATCTGAGGAAAAAAAAACAGCTGATTACAATTTTTTACAAGAAAAGCAAATAATCAGATATTTAATGAGGAAAAGAACCCTAAGTTCTTGGATACAACACAAGTTATGCACATTCAATCAACCAAAAGGCTGCCAAGTGCCCTCTCAAAGAAAATAATACACCAGACAACCATTTAAATCAGCAGACCACATAAGTTTCCCTTATTGAAACTGTCACATGAGACAAGAATCTCCCACATGCAACAAGAAAGATTAAGCTCAATTCCACAAGAACTGCCAACTCTGTCCATTCTCTTCGGGAAGCACATACTAGTTCAAATTCAAGAACATATGCTAACAGTTTATTCTGTCAGCTAACAGAAGGTAGGTAACACGGTTCTCTCATCTAATGTTTTATACTTAGAAGACTAAAATGTCAAGGACGCCCAAAGTATAAAAACAAGTCTTAATAAATTGAGTTTCATACAAATTCCAATTTCATTGAAGTAGGAATAAGAATAAAATAGAAATAGGACAAAAGTTTGAATGAAAAAAATATATTCTACTACCAAATAAATCTCATGCCCAAGTCAAATTACATGTTTTTATAATTTCTTTCTTTACATGTTGATACACAAACATATGGTTGAAATTAAATATGAGTACAGTTGATTCAATTTCGCATTAAATATATAAACTATAACGTATCAATTAACTAAAATAGATTTGAATCAAACTTAGGATTAATTTTTTTCTTTTGAGGAAAAGAGAATGTTTCCAGTTTAAATATGAACAAAATGTAGATATTTGGTTTATCTCAACTATTCTTGTACATCCATGAAACAGTCAATACCAAGCATCTCACCAAAAGAAGAAAACATCAACTCACCTGTCCAGGTCCACCACAATACCCACCATTTGGATCCTGCCAGCAAAGAAAACAACTGACTTATTTCCTTTACGAATACCCATCAAAAAGACGTGTTGTGTGCACACTCGATTTCCTTTACGACAAGAAGATGAGCATCATGCACATCAAATGAAGGAAACATATATAATGCAAGAAATCAGCAAATACCACATTTAACCATGCGATTCATTGGTCAATTCCAAAGGAGGAGTTATCTCCACCAATAGTCAATGCAAAATAAAAGCCGCCTTCAGGAAAATATGTATTTTCTATGGAATTCATTTGAAAATTCACACAATGAGAAGTCTATCTGAAGATGAAAAAGTGGACCTCTTTGGAAATTCCAATAGAACTAAAAGAAAGCATTCCAAATTGTCTCAAGTTTGATAGAATTTGAATTTTCAATTCATTTGAAATTCTCTGCGAGGTCGATTTTCACTGTTTTGCAGAGAACTTTCATCACCTTCTACTCATACTAGGACTAGATTTCCTACTAAGTTTCACAAATGAAGTCTTCATTTGTTCTAAATATAGCCAAAATAATGAAGACAAAAAACTAATACCTGACAGCGATTCAGAAAGTCAATGGCATTATGTTCCAAATCTTCATCAATAGACTCCCACAACAAAGCAATCGAATGAAGGATCCAGTAGCAAAGCCAAGGTCGACTGCATAAAACAACAATGGAAAATAGAGGCAAATTAATGAGAACCTCCAATGCGTGCCACTAATAAATCCCATCGATGCGTGCTTTTATTAGGCCTTTTGATATATCTAGTCTATATGTATAGTAAGAAAAACAAAAACAAACTTCCCTTTTTCCCCAAAGCTTACAAACTTAACTTATTTCACTCTTAACTGTCATTCATGCTCACACGACCATCTTTCTGAGCCATTAGTTAGGAACTTTGACAATCGAAAACATAAATTTCCAGATAGTACAAGCACGAGTTTATTTTACATTATCAACTGCAAATAGCTTATTAAAAATTGGCACAATTAATACAAACTGAAAAAAGCGGGCCACAGAATCTAATATCAGTTTCCACATCAACAGGCTTCCCCAAAAAAAGAAGATCCCATATCAATTGAGACGCAAATTTTGTGAAGTCACAACCACAACGTTTATAAGCACCACTTAATAGCATGAACCTCAAAAATATGTTTAAACTTACATATTCCTCAAAGCTCTCTGGGCAGAAATCCGATATATGGGAAGAGAAACTAAAAAACTGGTTCAGTTAGTTGTAACTCCTATATACAGAATGAATTGGCTAAAAAATATGCTTAATTAAATCCAGCAGAAAAACCAGCACAAAACACACTGTTTTCAGAGATTGCAAATAAATAATAAATACAGGTGCGAAAAAGATTGTATGAATACATACTTAGCATCCAACACCGAAAAAGATGGAGGAAGCTGCTTTAAGCCTTTAACTAGGTACTCCATATGGTTTTCAAACTGAAGCTCCAACCTATATCCAAAAAGGAACAAAAGAAAACAAACAAATCAACATATCTGCAATCAGTACACAATAACGCGAAAACGTTAAAAGTAAACTACAATTTCTATGCTTCTTTTGATTAGAAATGAAAAGCAGAATCAATATAGTTCGAGCTTTAACATGAAATTCTGGGAGGTAGGAGGTAAACTGGAAAAGGCATTGTAGATTTTGAAAATCCGTTCCGAAACCAGTAATTGCTCCCGCTGTGTCAGGGTTAAACTCGGGGGTGACTCCATAACTCCGAACTCCAGTACCAAGCTATCAGTACGGCACCAAGTTGAACACCGAGCAGAGCAAATAAAGAGGGTGGTTCGGGTTGACAAAAGAGATGCGCAATCGCGTGTGGTTTTGGTGTTTAAATTGCTTTAATCACATATATAATTTATCTACGAAATAAATAATTACTTGTTTGTAATAAATTGTAAATAAAAGTGTTAAATTATATAAAAAAATAATAATAATAAATGTATATATATATTTATATTACTAATGTTAAGTGAACTGAATAGATATTTAAGTAAATTTTTTTTTTTTAAAAAAAATTAATGACTTAAAATGTTAGGAATAAGTGTAATTACTTAAAACTGCTTGTAAATATATATAATAATTAGTCTCAAATGTCATTGAAGGAATTTTGCACTGCTTCATCTGTAAAACAGTTGGGGAAAAGAAGAAGACAAAAAGAGGTTGTAGACGCTATGGAATAAGAAAGAAAAGGGAAAAGGGAAAATGAGTATGAGCTAAAACCTAGAAATTGAATGGAAATAAAAATGAGGGGTATAATAACACTAGTAAGGCGGTACCTTCTTTTTCTTTTTCTTTTTATGTACGTAACATACACCCAAAAGCATGCACTAGGCTTTAATTAAAATATTTTCAACAAAATATGTGTCAATTGGCTTCTTATCTTCTAGCTTATTGTTTTTGTAACTAAGACAAATATATTATAT